TCAGAAAAGGTTTCACGAGAACGACACCGACGGTGGGAGCTCACAGTTGGAAATTGGAATATAACCTCACTCAGAGGAAAAGAACAAGACTTAGTTAATGAGGCCATAAACTACCAACTCGAAATTGCAGGACTCTCGTCAACGAAACGCCAAGGCTCTGAACTCCTGAACCTCAAAGGATGGAAGCTATTCTACTCAGGCGTCATATCATTCCCCGCATTCATGCCCGGGCTCATAGAGGACCCCCACCACTAGCGTTCAGCCCGGTGTTGGGGTTCTGGTAGAACCCAACCTCGCGAATAGAATAATTGATTGGAAGCCTGTCAGCGGAAGGATGGTAATCTTCCGACTGAAGAACCAGCAGGCTAAAGCGTTGACCTTGGCACAGATCTATGCACCAGTTTGAAGGAAGTGTATGATACCTTCCTTGAGAAAGTGCAGTGTGCTCTGTCTAACGCGGTTCATGGGCGACTTTAATGAGCATGTCTGAGTAGACGCTGAAAAGTGGAACGGCCTGATTGGAAAAAACGGCCCTGGTGACCTCAACAGTAACAGAATGAAGTTGTTATAGTTCTGTGCAAACAACGGATTGTCTATTATGAACGCCTTCTTCGATCTTCGAAGAGTGGATCAGTTTACCTAGTACCGGGAAGCTTGTCCATAGAAGTGGATGACCCGTTGGATAATCGTATTGTCCGACTTAAGACGCTCAGTAATGGATGTTCGCGTTAAGAAACGCGCGGAGCTACCAACCGATCATCACCCTATTGCTGGCACACTACGCTGTGAGAAATGGAATCCCATACGAAGATCTGGTGGCAGAAGCAACCAGAGAATCAAATGAGAAACATTATCTTCGATGGACACGAGAGCAAAATTTGCAAACATCGCACGACGGTTTGAACAGATCCCGCTGATGACAACTGATGTTGAAGCCGAGTGGCAGCTCTTTAAGAGCGGCATACTCGAGGCTGCCGCCGAATGCTGCGGATATAAACGGGTTGGCCTGCCGCCTGGAGGTCAGAAAAGGTCTTCCTGTTGGGCACAGTTAAAGAGAAGGCAGCGTTCAGGAAATGGCTTGGAAAGAAAGAACCTTCTACTCGAGTATGATATGTCGAGGGACGTAGGGCGGCAGCCATAGCAGTGGCGAAAGCAAAACCAGATTCATGGGCGAAGTTCGGTTAGAGGTTCGAGTCGAATTTCCACACTGTAAACAAGGCGTTCTGTCAGGCCAACCACCGGCTCCTAAGCGCAAGGAAGAAAAACCTAAAAGACTTGAAGGACATGACTTAACACCCTCTTCAAACGGAGGAGGACGTTCTAAGGCGATGGAGAGTACTTTGATTAGCTCCTTAACATCGAACAGCCACAGGAAGA